TTTCAGGCAAATGGAATTTCTTGCAACATCCTATAAAGTCATAATATTCTCAAATCACCAGCAGGTCTCTGCCCCTGGGAGGAGAAGCTGCACTTGCTGACACATTCAGCACACCTCTGTGAAAAATGTAATCCAACCAAGAAGGAAGTCCATTTCTCGGTCCTTTTGTAACAAGGGCAAAGAGTCCCTGTGCCCAAAAGTCTGTGTCAAGGAAGAATAGCAGGGTTCCTGCAGACATTTGCTCTGCCAACCTTTTAATGCTCTCGCTACTGTAGGAGCATTCCATCACCTCGGAGACACGGAGGCTGGCTCCCCACATGAGGCTGGCTCCCCACACAAGGCTGACACCCCATGCAAGGCCAACACCCCACCAGAGGGGTGCTGAGGAGACAGTAAGCCTCCTTTGGATCTTCACAATCATTAAGAGTTCTGTGCCACTGCCCAGGGAAACACAATTAGGACATAGTGTTAATACAAACTAATGGCTCTACAAATGGAATCTGGTTTCCACCACACCTGTTTCCTGGAGCGTTTGCTCATTGCCCTGCCTAAAGTAATACATGCCATGTCATGTGCTGGTGGAAGGCCTCCCTTCCTAACTTATTTGTGCATAAATCAGATCTCAGGAATGGGAAACCGAGCATGTCACTGAGCCATAGCAAACACCCTGGATATTCTGTGCTGTGTAGAGACAGGACGCAGGGCAGAAGGAGAGATTAGGGGTCAGGGGAGAAAGGAGGTAGGTCAGACCGAGAAGCACTCCTCCCAAGGGAGGGGCAATGGGGTCCAGAATCCAACACAAGAGGTCAGGCTGCTTGTAGCACTATATCGCATTGGCACCCAAACTAGGAGTCAGAGAGCTGGGTTCCAGCCTAAGTTCAGCCCCTAACAAGCACTGTGGCCTTGAAAACATCAGGCCTGCCCATTGTCCACTAAAATTAACTCTTGGCTTTTGCACACTCTGTTCCTTCTGCCCCGATTTCTCCCCCACCCTTTGGCAATGTGTCTCGAGTCTGAATATCCTCCTCTTTCACACCAGGCAAAATCCTGTGCATCTTTCAAGGCCCTAACCAGTCAGCCTTCTTCTGTGGAGCCGCCCCCAGGGCTGTTCAATCTGGCCACTTGTGCTTTTTAGGCCTCAGTTTCTAAAACTGCAAAATGGAACATCAGCAAGGAAGGTGCTTCTAATGGGTCATTCAAAAATAACCATTGCTGATCCCGGATTTTTGCTCTCAGCTGGATATGTGACTCTTCCTTTCACCTGGAAATATTAGAATGAGACTCGGCTCAAATGTTGCTCTCTGGGCTCCTATATATACATCACCACCGCCTCACCCACTTGAGCAGACCCCACCGGTCTTGGGTCTGCCCATCCACTGGATGGTGACCTCCTTGAGAGCAGGACTACGCTTGGCTTCCCATTCTCCTCTCCAAGCCTAAGCCACAGAGGAGCTCACCAAAGGTTGTGGTTCAACGAACAATCCTCATGCTCTCTCCCAATACCGTGTTGCCAACTGGGAGCCCGCGAGGAATTCCAACTTGACCAACCATCTGTCTCCTTATCCAAGCCACCTCCATGCTCATCTCAGACACAGTAGCCTTGAGGTTAGCAAGGCTTAGATTCCCTTCTGTAGTCTCCCAATGGAGGCACCCAAGCTTCCAACCTTGCACAGCGACCATTCAGAACAACTGGGGTGGACTTAGACTCCAGGACTCCTCTCTCGGTAGAAATGAATGGGTTCCCCATCTTGAATGTAAATGGAGCAGATGGAACAGAGTCCCACAGTGGAGGTGACTTTCTCAGATGGAACAGAGTCCCACAGCGGAGGTGGGCAAGCCGAGGGGCACAGCAGCATCCCAGCAGCCTCAGGGGTCTCTCCCCAGCAACCACCCAGTCAGCCTCCCCACTGCTACCAGGGCAAAACACACCCAACTGTAAGAGAATCTCATGGTCTGTGTGTGTTGAGGCTTTTACATTTCAGGTAATGGAAACAAAAAACCTCCGATGGTCCATGAGACTGCTATTGATTGGGCTTCTTAAGTGGCTCAGTGGTTAGAGGAATCCGCCTGCCAAGGCAGGAGATGCAGGAATGTTGGGCTCAATGCCTGGGTTGGGAAGATCCCCTGGAGGAGGAAATGGCAACCCACTCCAGTATTCTTGCATGGAGAATTCCATGGACAGAGGAGCCTGGCGGGCTACAGCCCATGGGGTTACAAAGAGTCAGACATGACCGAGAGACTAAGCACCCGTGCGTGAGACTGCTGTTACACCAGGTGATCTTGACAGTGTGTGTGTCTGCGTGTGTGTGGGTGGGGGGGAGAGCAAGAGACAGAGACAGAGAGACAGGACAATGTTCATATTACCCAGCCCTCTGAACATTAACCAAAAGGAGGTCTGGCTGAGAGCAGCTGCTGACATACACCGTCCAATTCTTGTTATCTAGCTCAGCATCATTCACCAGAATGTTCCAGTAGCTGCAGCTTTCCTTCTAAATACACATCACTTTAAGGTCATCTCTTCTTATGGTCAAAGTCACCATCCAAATAACGTAAATACTGGCATAAAGAGAATCAGTAGTGGATTCCCCTGGCGGCCCAGTGGTAAAGAATCTGCCTGCCAATGTAGGGGACATGGGTTCGATCCTTGGCCTGCGGGAAGATTCCACACGCCACAGAGCAACTAAGCCCGTGTGTCACAACGCCTGAGCTCTCCTTCTGGAGCCTTCGAGCCACCACTACTGAGGCTGTGTGCCCTAGAATCTGTGCTCTGAAACAAGAGTGGCCACGGCGGTGAGAAATCCATGCACTGCAACAGAGAGCAGCTGCCGCTCACCGCAGCTGGAGAAAATCCGCGTGTGGCAAGGAAGACCCAGCACAGCCAAAAATAATACATAAATGAAATGAAAGAAATCAGTATTGGGGATGATAAATCTGCCATCAAATCAAAACCTCACTATCCTAATGGTCAAACCAGAAACTTGCTGTGCAGACACTATCCAGCCTGGATTTCACACACCCTCCATGTCCTCTGCCAGCCAGGCCCTCAGACCTGGGTGAACTGAGGCAATGATGGAGAGGGAGATAGTACCTCCGTTTCTAAAAATCAGCTGCTTTGCAAATTGGCAGCTCACTTGACCCCACTGCAGAGCAAAGTGTGCACAGAGCTTCAAAAACATGGGGCTTGGAAAACAGAACACATTACCGAGCAAACCAGCAATGAAACTTATCAACAATGACATTCACACGGAAGAGGCCTTTCGCTGCGTGCACACAGGTGTTAATTTCTGCCAAGTCCACCTGAGTGCGCAGGCCTACATTCTGGGCGGACCTTGTCAGCTTCACTGAGGTCTAAGACCTTATTACTCAAGGTATGGTCCATGGACCAGCAGCCTACCATCACCTAGGACCTCCTTGGAAATGCAGAATCTCACCTGCTGAATCAGAGTCTGCATTTTAACAAGATCTCCCTGGGATTCCCCAGCACATTCAAATTTGAGATTTGTAGTTCTGGATTCCTGTTCCCAACGCAGGACCTCATCAGAAGAGTGCCCAGGACAAACCTCAGCCCTCTGTCTTTCGTCAAGGTCATTAGCCCTGCTTACAGGTCTGAACATCAGCTCTGAGGTCACAAGGCTGTGTGATCTTGGGCAGGCTTACTTAAATTCATTAAGCCCCTGTTTCCTCACTGTAAAATGGAGATGATTAACCATGGCAACTGCCTGAAAAGTCTGTAGGGAAAGGAAACAAAATCAGGCTTGCAATGGACTTAGCACAGCCGATGCTTGAGAAACAAACATTAACCGCTACTAAACAGCCAAAGAAAGATCAGTGGGACAATATCCACAGCGGAGGGGGTGGCTACTGTCCCCACCTAATCACACCCTTCCCTCCCTCAGTCTGAAAACTGGAGAGTTTTTCTAATACGACCAAAACATTGGCAAGTGAGGGATAAACTGTCTATGCATGCATGCGTGCTAAGTCGCTTCAGTTGTGTTCAACTCTTTGCGACCACGTGGACTGTAGCCCACCAGGCTCCTCTGTCCACAGGATTCTCCAGGCAAGAACACGAGTGGGTTGCCATGCCCTCCTCCAGGGGATCTTCCTGACCCAGAGATCGAACCCTTGCCTCTTACATTTCCTGCATTGGCAGGCCAGTTCTTTACCACTAGTGCAATCTGGAAATTGTCTCTATGGGAGCATTAAAGGCATAAGCTATGGGACTTCCCTGGCAGTCCAGTGGTTAACCCCACGCTTCAGGACAGGCGGCCTGGGTTCAATCCCCAGTCAGGGAACGAAAATCCCACGTGCTACATGGCACAGCCAAAAGAGAAAAATTAACAGATAAGCTCTAGAGCTGGTTTAAATCTTCTGTTGCTTGGGTGACACCAAGCCTCAGTCTCCTCATCCGTAAAGTGGGAGTGGGTGAATAACTACGATTTCAGGGGTCACGGCGAGGATCAGGTGTGCTCTTCCAAAGAAGGCACTTTGAAAACGACGGAGCGTTTGCTGTTGTTACTGTCATCGTCACCATCGTTAGGGACAGCCTGCTTTCAGCCAATCAGGGAGGACAGGCCAGGTCAGGCTCTCGGTGTCTGAGACGAGGGCTTCGGCTGGCGGCGAGGAGTTTGCCGCCTGGATCTTGTGGCCGCAGTAGCACTCGGCGCCGAACTCCAGCCCAGCGTACAGGTAACCCCTGGGGGAGGCTGCTGTCAGGCCAGGGTGCCTGCCACCATGGAGACCCCCAAGGAGGGCAGGGAGCCATGGCCAGTGAGGAGGCCCCAGGTGATGGGTCAGCTCTGGGGACTAGGAGGTCCCGGAGGGAGACGGGGATGCAGATGCTGAAGGTGGGATGACAGAGAGACTCCCAGTGGGGAGAGAGGAGACCTTAGTGGACAGGAGACCCATCCACAGTGGAGAGCGGGTAGACAAGAGGCTTCAGGAGATGGGGAGACCCTAAGGAAAGGAGGAAACTGGGGTGGAGGGGGGAAAACGAGGAAGGCTGTGGGGTCAGGGAGACCTAAGGAGATCTGGGGGACAGGGATGCTCCAAGGGACATCAAGATCAAGACTAAGGAGACCCTGAGAAGGTCGTGGAGGCTGAGGATTCTGAAAGTCTCGCAGGTGCAATGGGCAAGAAGCCAAGAAGGATTACAGGGAGGACCTGGAAGGGGGCAGGCAGGGAGACTCCGGAGGAAACGAGACCCCAGGGAGACCACTGGCGTCCATCCCTGCCTGAGGTCTCACACCCCCTCTACACTTGGCCGCACAGACACACCACGTCACAGTCACACCCACCCACATACACCTTCAGCACCCTAGACACACACCACACCCTTCTGGCCCTGTGGTCCCTCTGCCCTCCCTGTCTTCCCTGTCCACAGCCAGGAGCCAATCACATGTGCAGCATCTAGCCCCTTTATTCTGGCAACACCACCCAGGGATGGTACCTCTAGTTCCCCTGAGAGAAGTCTGGCCCAGGAGAAAGGGCAGGGGACTCTCACATCTCTCTGGAAAACCAGGGTCACATATCCAGCCAAGTAAAAAAAACTCCTTTCCTTAAAACAAAACAGAAAGCCAGGCACCGCAAGATTTTCTTTTCTTTTTTTTCACAGCTATGGAATCATTTCCTAAAAAGGACTCTTGGTAAGGATTCGTCTGTAAACAGATGAAAAGACAATTGCTTGTTCTGGCTCCAGGGGTGGGTATGAAGTGGTGGGGGTGGGGGGGGAGGGGAGTAGGACTACGCCTGCTCAGCCCTCTTGCCCACTGCATTTTCTGAGGCACTTTCCAGAATTGAGAAAGGTTCCTGGGGGCTGGGAGCAGCCTGCAAAATACTGGTCCTGCAAGACGGGACTTATCGGAGGTGTCACTTCATGACTTCCGGGGGCTAGTTGGAGACACAGACCCACCCAGATTCATGTGTCCGAACACCCCAACTACTCGGGGTGGCGTGCAATCATAGGTCACCGGGGCAGATGCAATTGTTGTTCAGTTGCTCAGTCGTGTTTGACTCTCTGCAACCCCATGGACTGCAACACGCCAGGCTTCCCTGTCCATCACTGTCTCCTGGAATTTGCTCAAACTCATGTCCATTGAGTCATGCCATCCAGCCATCTCATCCTCTATCATCCCCTTCTCCTCCTGCCCTCAATCTTTCGCAGCATCAGGGTCTTTTCCAATGAGTCAGCTCTTCAAATCAGATGGCCAAACTATTGGAGCTTCAGCATTAGTCCTCCCAATGAATACTCAGGGTTGATTTCCTTTAGGACTGCCTGGTTTGATCTCCTTGCAGACACAGTTCAGTTCAGGTGAGTCGCTCAGTTGTGTCCGACTCTTTGTGATCCCATGGACTACAACACACGAGGCTTCCCTGTCCTTCACCAACTCCTGGAGCTTGCTCAAATTCATGTCCATTGAGTCAATGATGCCATCCAACCATCTTATCCTCTGTCATCCCCATCTCCTCCTGCCTTCAATCTTTCCCAGAATCAGGGTCTTTCCCAATGAGTCAGCTCTTCGCATCAGGTGGCCAAAGTATTGGAACTTCAGCTTCAGCATCAGTCCTTTCCATGAATATTCAGGACTGATTTCCTTTAGGATAGACTGGCTGGATCTCCTTGCAGTCCAAGGAACTTTCTAGAGTCTTCTCCAACACCACAGTTCAAAAGCATCAATTCTTCAGCACTCAGCTTTCTTTATAGTCCAACTCTCACATCCATACATGACTCCTGGAAAAACCATAGCTTTGACAAAATGGACTTTTGTTGTCAAATAATGTCTCTGCTTTTTAATATGCTGTCTAAGTTGGTCATAGCTTTTCTTCCAAGGAGCAGGCGTCTTTTAATTTCATGGCTTCAGTCACCATCTGCAGTGATTTTGGCGCCCCCAGATAAATTGCAGATGCAGTAGGAGCAGCTTAAACTATCTGGGCATCTTGGGGCTGGGTCAGCCTCCTTCTTCCACCTCTCTGTCTCTCCGAAGCCTTGGTTCTCAGGTGTCCCTGGGGCCCGTCACATATAACTGGACCCACTGATGGAAGGACCACTACTGGATAGTAGGAGCTTTTAAGGTTTCCCAGCTGGATGTGAAAGTCAGAGCAGCAGTTCTCCAACCATGGTCCCGGGACCAGCAGCATGCAGTATCATCTGGGAACTTGTTAAAAATTCTTGGACTCCACCTCAAACCCAACAAATCGAAAATTGGGGGTGGGGTGGGGCCCAGCAATTTGTTTTAAAAGATCCCAAGTGAGCTTCCCTGATAGCTCAGTTGGTAAAGAATCCACCTGCAATGCAGGAGACCCCGGTTCGATTCAAGGGTCAGGAAGATCCCCTGGAGAAGGGATCGGCTACCCACTCCAGTATTCTTGGACTTCCCTTGTGGCTCAGCTGGTAAAGAACCTGCCTGCAATGTGGGAGACCTGGGTGCGATCCCTGGGTTGGGAGGATTCCCTGGACAAGGGAAAGGCTGCCCACTCCAGTATTCTGGCCTAGAGAATCCCATAGACTATATAGTCCATGGGGTCACAAACGTTGGACAGGACAGCGACTTTCACATCCAAGTTGATGCTGACGTGCGTGTCCTGGAGCTCACAGCTTGGATGCAGAGACAAGCACGTAACTAGAAAAGGGCTGCACAGTGAGATGAGGGTGAGATGGAATAAATCGCAGATGGTGGAAATGCAGGAGGCGCCCAACATGCCTGGGGTGTCAGGAGAGACTTCTCAGGAGGCGACAGCCAAGATTGAGCTTCAGAAGATGAGTCAGATCAACTTGCGTAGTTCAGTTTGGTTCCGCATGTGTTTGTTGGCTGCCCACATGTGCTTCCAGATAGAGCCAGAGGTGAGTCAGCCAAGGCCCTGCCCCCAAGGGGCTCCCCAGCTAGTCGGGGAGACAGAAGCATCAGCAGGCTTGGGCCACAGAATAGCAAGAGCTTACGCTTGCTCTCTGCCAGGTGCTGTTCTTAAACATTTGCTTTGCAAATACTAACTCTTCAGCCCCCACAAGACCCCTCTGAGGGCATGGCCCCTGCGATTTACCTCTGTCTCCCCACAGTCCAAGAGATAACTTAATCAATCAATATCCTAGAGAGCTGGAAGTCTCTCCTAAGCTGGAGGTGGTCCTGAGTTCAGGATTGATGGTGGACTGTTCTGGAAGCTGATTATAAAGCAGACAGTGTTTCCTAATCAGGGAGAGAAGGAAGGGTCCCTTGGCCACCCACTTGCCCATTTCCACTCCAGTCATGCAGCTGAGCTCTTTCAGAGCTCGTGACCTCCAGAGGCAGCAGGCTCGAGTCTGAAGGTCAGCATGTCAGAGGCCTCCCGCAAACCACCATGGGTCCGGGACCCAGGGCACGGGGGAGGAGCAGGTCCGCTCACTGCTCCGAGCCTCCCGGGCAGAGTGCTGGTTCCCAGGCCTGGCCCCAGGGTCCCCACGCGCCAGTCCTCTGGGGCCTGTCTACTCTTGAAAAGTCAGCTCCCTCCCCTTAGGGCCTGTTCTCACTGAGAACATCATTTTTTCCTTAGATTGGAAAACATTGCCTGGACAGGTGAGTGTTTCTCCCTGGGCCAGGAACGAATAGTTTCTGGGCTGGGCAAGCACTAAATATCCCTGATTGCAGGCTCCCACCTCAGCTTTCCCACAGGCATCTCACAAGCCTCATGCTCACAGACTCACACTTGCCTGCACGTAAACATCTACTTGTGCACTCACGTAAACACTCACTTGTGCTTTTCCCACAATTCTGGACCCATGCCAACATATCCACACCGACTCCAGCACTCACAGCCACTATTATTTAATTCAGTGTTGGCATTAAGCTCACACACATGTCACCCTGCAGACTGTACACTGTAAACTCACACCTAGGCACAGCCTCACACAACTGCACAGTCACAGATTCCAACAGACCAACTCCCTACTCTTGATCTCCAGTGTCCATGAGACAGGCTCCTCTGTCCATGGGATTTTTCAGGCAAGAGAATGTGCACACACATGCACTCACACACACACACACACACACACACTCACACACACACTCTCTCACACACACACACTCACACACACACACCCTCTTGCATCACCTTCCCTTACAGTGATATGTCCATCCTTCCTCATGCCCTCCCACGGGAAAACGAAAGACCACCACAGGTAGGAAGCTGCGAAGGAAGGGGTCTGGATGCAGGGAGCCTGGGACGCTGGGGCCCTACCGTTCTGCACAGTTGTCCTGGCAACGGAAGACGGTCATCTTTTTGTAGTCGAAAAAGGACACGCCTCGGAGGGCCCGGCTCTGGGTGTCATCCAGGTAGCAGCCGATGTACTTAGCTTTGGGAAGATGAGAAAAGTCAGATCTGGGGTGGTGGGGGAGGGGGACAGAGCTGAAAGGGTTTCAGAAGTGACGAGTCTGCCTCTGGCTATGACCTCTTGGTTCCAATTCCTTCCTCTGAGCAGTCAAGTGGAAACAAGAGAGACTGACACTCGTGTGCATTGGCAGAGCTTGGTCCACGGGGCAGTGCAGTCCCGTGGGTAAGGCTGTGGGCCCTGGAGGTCGACAGAGGGGAGGACGCGACCTTCCATAGCCAGGGGTAAGGTCACACCCCTGGGCCCTACTGATGACAACTGGGCACCCAGCAACCCAAGCTCACCTCACTCCCTAAGCCCCAAGACTCTTATTAAGACAGCTCTGAAGAGCTTGATAAGTTGACAGCCTGCTGTCATTTCTGCAAGATGACTTAAGGTTTTATTTATTTTTTCTTGGAAGGAACACTGGACTTGGACATCTTAAGATCCAAGTCACCATCTCACTTTGGTGACATTCCAGTGCATTTAGGCCAGTTAATCTCTCTGAGGCCCAGTTTCCATCACACACACACACCCTCTTGCATCACCTTCCCTTACAGTGATATGTCCATCCTTCCTCATGCCCTCCCACGGGAAAACGAAAGACCACCACAGGTAGGAAGCTGCGAAGGAAGGGGTCTGGATGCAGGGAGCCTGGGACGCTGGGGCCCTACCGTTCTGCACAGTTGTCCTGGCAACGGAAGACGGTCATCTTTTTGTAGTCGAAAAAGGACACGCCTCGGAGGGCCCGGCTCTGGGTGTCATCCAGGTAGCAGCCGATGTACTTAGCTTTGGGAAGATGAGAAAAGTCAGATCTGGGGTGGTGGGGGAGGGGGACAGAGCTGAAAGGGTTTCAGAAGTGACGAGTCTGCCTCTGGCTATGACCTCTTGGTTCCAATTCCTTCCTCTGAGCAGTCAAGTGGAAACAAGAGAGACTGACACTCGTGTGCATTGGCAGAGCTTGGTCCACGGGGCAGTGCAGTCCCGTGGGTAAGGCTGTGGGCCCTGGAGGTCGACAGAGGGGAGGACGCGACCTTCCATAGCCAGGGGTAAGGTCACACCCCTGGGCCCTACTGATGACAACTGGGCACCCAGCAACCCAAGCTCACCTCACTCCCTAAGCCCCAAGACTCTTATTACGACAGCTCTGAAGAGCTTGATAAGTTGACAGCCTGCTGTCATTTCTGCAAGATGACTTAAGGTTTTATTTATTTTTTCTTGGAAGGAACACTGGACTTGGACATCTTAAGATCCAAGTCACCATCTCACTTTGGTGACATTCCAGTGCATTTAGGCCAGTTAATCTCTCTGAGGCCCAGTTTCCGTCATTGTGGGGATGAAAATATCAGCCCAATGAGGTTAAAATGGACTTATTTGTATAAACATTTCTTCCACAGGGTCTTGCATATAATAGGCACAAACTTAAGGTGAGTGGAATAAGAAACGAGCCATTCACAGTGCTGTTTTAAGTTCTTCACAGTTTTCCCACCTTGTGGGCCAAGGTAAATGCTTTCATCCAGAAGGAATTTTTTTTTTTAAAGATTCTGTTTGATGTGGATCATTTTTAAAGTCTTTATTGAATTTGTTACAACATGGCTTCTGTTTTATGTTTTGGGTTTTTGGCTGTGAGGCACGTGGGATCTTAGCTTCCAACCAGGGATTGAATTCACACCCGCTGCGTTAGAAGGTGAAGTCTTAACCACTGGACCACCATGGGAGGCCCCAAAAAGAAATTTTTAAATTATGTGAAACAAGCATCCAATGATATACCATTCACTTAGTTTTCTCAGATTAGTACATGTATTCCTATACTTGTTGGCAAATAGTACATGAAGATGGTACTTTACAGTTTATCAAGTCTTTTCCCATGTGTTCTTACAATCATTATTAACTTGGACATGCACTTTGATAATTGCCTTATACATACTGCCTCATGAATCCTTAGAATGAGCCTGTGAGGGAAGTATTAATATTCCCAGTCAATGTATAAGAGGAAACTGAGGCCCAGAGAGGCTGAGTCACCTGCCCAAGGACACACAGCTTATACCGGTGGGGCTGGGTTTGGACACAGCAGTCTGGCTGCAGAACCCATGTTCTGAACTCTTTGCTTTTTTTTTTTTAAAGTTTTTTTTTTCTGCTGTGGACCATTTTAAAGTCTTCATTGAATTTGTGACAATATTGATTCTGTTTTATGTTTTGGTTTCTGACTGGGAGGCATGTGGGATTTTACAGCTCCTGTCTCCGACTGGGGATCAAACCTGCGTGCCTCGAACTTGAAGGCGAAATCTTAACCACCCCCAGGGAAGTCCCTCTTGCTTCTCTTTGGATCTGGGGACCTTTGCAATGACCCAGGTGCAGTGGCTCTTGGCATGCTGAAACTCTGTTCTTAGGTGATTGAACAGGGGCCCAGAAAGGTGAAGCGAGCTGTCCCAGACCTGAAACTAATTGATGGTAGAATAAAGATTTAAATTTAGGTCTATGGGACCCCAAACCAGTGCTCTTGCATTTGGGAGTCACTGGAGGTGAACCTGAGGACCCAGCCAGCCCTTGGAATTAAACGGCCCTCCTGGAGAATGATTGAGGAAAATGCTACATGCCACCTGATCTCGTTCAGGCCTAGGCTGCTGTCGATTTAAACTGTGGGCTCCTCGCCCCCCCTCACTCGTGGTGGAGAACAGGGTCTAGCAGAGGATACTGGCTTGTTAAGGAGCAATTGTGTCCCCTCAATGCCGCCCTGGGAAGTGCAGAATTTGTCAGCCTCGCTGGAGATGTGTCTCAACCCTGATCACCTTGAATTTCTTTCATAAGACAGAGGTGATTTGGTCGACTAAGAACAGTCCATCTTTAAAAGAAACATCGCCTCCCTGGAGCAGGGACATCAGATGGTGACAGCTCTGGGAAAGCCGGCATCTTGTCACTGTGCTTGTTCAACAATGGATGACTCTCCTGTGTCACAGAAGGAAACATGGCCCGGGGAGGTGTGTGCGTGTGTGTGTGTGTGACGTTTACATCTGGGCTGGGAGAGAGAACTTCCATGGGCCATTGTTGGCAAGTAACCTTAGTTCAGTAGTTCACTAGAGGACAGAGTGTCTAAGGATGGGCAGGAGGAGAAAAAAAAAAAAAAGGACGAAGGAGAGGAAGGGAAAGGGAAAGTGAGGGAACTGTTGTTTATTTTGGCAGAATGAGGCCAGTGTCATCAGATCAAAAGCTGTATGTGTGAAAGACAGAGAATGTGCATTGAGTACCTACTATGCACCATGCCTCATTTAAAAAAATTCAGTCCTCACACCCTTCTTATTAACCCATCTTATAGATGAAGAGACTGATCCTAATGACTGTTGTATCTGTCTGTCTTAGAAGTGAATCTTTGTATTTGGCCTACGGTATATGCTTTCTGACTGGTCCCCACTCATGTTACTACATCTTACCTGTTTCTAAGTAGAATTTGAAACTATGCAATCTGCCTGTGTGCCCAGTGCTTGGAAACATCTCCAAATCTTAAAATTTAAGCTCAGATCTGTCCTCCAGCCGTTGTACATTTGGGGAGGCTTTGCTTCCATGTGGCCCACAGGCTTCAGGATCACAAGGTACCACACTGGGTCCTGACAGAGAGGAGTGCTCATGACCCAGAAATGCTGGGCTTGGAGCTGGATGTACTATGACCATGGGTGGTCTCGCCAGAGGGTGAGGGTAGGTGCATTCGACTATAGGGGGGATTGTGGATTGTGTTAGATGAGAGTTTTATAATCAGATTAATAGGAGTGTGAGCACATGTCCACACACATCCACTGTAGGGTGAGTGGGTGGACTGTCATGGTACTCTTTGAGCCTTCAGAGCAGCCTACCCTCGTATTTTTCTGTGCATGCTCAGTCACGTCCCACTCTTTGCAACCCCTGTGGACTGTAGCCCGCCTGCCAGGCTCCCCTGTCCACGGGATTTACCAGGCAAGACTACTGGAGTGTGTTGCCATTTCCTTGTCCAGGGGACCTTCCTGAGCCAGAGATAGAACCTGCACCTCCTTCATTGGTAGGCAGATTTGTACCACTAGTGCCACCTGGGAAGCCCTTACCAGCTCTGATCTTGGGGAGACACTGACCCTGGAAAAGCCAATCATATTGTACCTGCCACCAGCCAGTGACTGATGGCTCCAGGGAAGGACACCTGACCTATTCTTTGGATTCTTATAGATTAAAGCTGGGAGAAAGAGATTTGTCTCCCTTGGGTTGTGACACTGGTATTCTTTAAGTCCAGAGCTACCAACAGCCAAGACCCCTGGCACAAAATCAGTCTGCGCAGGAGAACCAAGCTAAGTCAGAAGCAAGCAGAGATGAGAGTTAGGAAGAGAATGGAACAATTCATTCATTTGACAACCTAGCCCCTTCGGTAGTTTGGTGACGAGACACACTACATTTTCTTCTTTGGCTTAAGCTGATTCAAGATGAGTTTTTTGGTCCCTGCCATCAAAGGAGCACTGACTAATATGCTGACTGCCAAGCTAAGCTGCCTGAGTCCACCCAGCTGGGAGAGTCTAGAATGTGTCCCTCTTTAGGCCGCCCTTTCTTGTACACCACACTTAGTCTCGGCTTGGGAGGAAGGCGTCTCCATCCTGCCAGAGAGACCTTCCTGGAGGGGTGATGGGAGACGGAGGGTCTTTCGGAAGAGGAGTTAATACTTGACCATAGGTCCATCTGCCCCAAAGTCTGGGCTTTTAAATGCTGTACCACCCCTTCCCTAAGCCTCCCACCAGACCAGGCATCAGGTTGAGATGACCCACACAACAGCCGCTCAAAGAGACTCAGGGTCCCCTTCTCTGATGCTCTGGAGAAGCGTGGGCATGCTATATACTGTGACCTGACGGATGGGCTGAGCTCTTTGGGTCAGGAAACGGATACTAAATCTGTTTCCTCCTTGCCCTGGGCCAGGAAGGGCTGGTGACTCCTTCCCTCCTGACCCTTCAGTGCGGGCCGAGGCCAACACAACCGGCAACCCTGTCGCTGGAGCTCTATCACCTAGTTAGCGATAAGCTTGTGGGGGGGTGGGCTACCATCCAACCCACTTCCGATTTTCCTCAAGTTCTGCTGTACTGGCAGAATCTCCCGAAGACGAGGGGGAGGTTGGGTATGTAAAACAGGGACGAAATTCACAGGCCACTCGAGGGTGAATTAATGGCTGAGTTCATACAATCTATCAGCTCATCGGAGCAGCCATCCGAATATCGCTGAAACGGCAAAGTGCTGTCCCAGCCTGGCTATTTATCTCAGGCGCAGAAACCGGCGAGGGGTGAGCCCAGGAGAGCACAAGCATCTGGAAAAGAGCTCTCCTGACTGTGTTTTTTCCCCTTTTCTTTTCCTTTCCCCCCACCCTCTTTTGCTTCAATTAATCTTCCTTTTCAAGCAAATTTGCTCTCTTCAGTAAAGGTAATTTGTTAAGAGGATAGCTAAACATGTGCTAATTTGTATTCCTCTTATTTATTGTTTGTGAGTAGATTTGCAGACAGGAGGTATTACAGTGTCCTCAAGGACCAGTTTCGGAGTCTACCAGATCTGGGTTCTAATCCTGACACTGCAAGTAGCCTGGGCAGTATTACTCAAGGTCCTGCCTGAAAAGTGGAAATAAAACATAAGGGAGTGGGATTTCCCTAGTGGTCCAGGGGTTAAGAATTCTCCTTGCAGTGTAGGGGACGCAAGTTCAATCTCTGGTTGGGGAAATAAGATCCCACGTGCCTCGGAGCAACCAAGTTCTTGCTTGCTGCGACCACTGAACCCATGGCATAACTAGAGAGTCCGTG